AGCTTAAGCATATTTTAGTGAGCTTTTTAATGTCTCTTTCTATATTACTACTGTGAATCCGTAGAAGTATCTATATTCTTTTGCCTCATTGAACTCCTTTTGACAGTTCATCAAATAATGTGACAAGCATTTGTCATGTGTAGCTTGTTCTTCTTGATTCTGTCAGATAAAGAAGAAGCTCATGGAGATAAAAAACCTGATACATAATGTAGTGGCTCTTGCTTGTTTTGTTGTTGGGGTTTTTCTTTGTTTGTTTATTGCGAGCACATTTTTATACATAAGTTTGAAAAAGTGTGCTTTCTGTTTAGAGCCAAAAGTTAGGTTTCTCTGTGTGTTCACTGAATAATATCAGACTGGCCCCAAAAGCTCCTCCAAGAAGGTTTCCCTCCCTGGTGCTGAGCAGACTGGGCTCTTGAACATAGTGGCTTCCCCTGCCTGCAATTCCTTGGGATGTATTTTTGGTGATTTCTTGACTGTTTGCAAAGTTCAGTCACAATCAGATTCAGTTTGAAGTTGTCTGGTCTTCTGTAGGTTTCTCTTGTGCGTGCAGCGGGCTGTCTTGCTTTTAAAGTGTATGTGAAGGGTAAGTAAGTCTGGGTCAACACCACTGCTCATATAAATGTATGTATTTAAAAGTAGAGAGGCATAGGGAAGTATCAGAGCAAAACATCTGTGCCCAACTGGTCACAATGCAAAAAGCAAACCACACAATCAATTTATTTCATCATGTTTAAATTTAGATGTCCAACTCTGATCATTCATTCTTACATTGATCTCATGGTTGATAGGAAAAAGTGGCACCTTCAAAGTGCCTTGGAGCTGACCTGTTTTAGTTTTGTATTTTATAAGAACTACCACACAGAAATGCTCTCCTTCACTGCTGCCACTGCCTCCTCCTCCTTCTCTTGCAGAACTCCTCAGCCAGCCAGTGCTGAGGAGATAAGATGTAAATGTGTACCTGAATTGACTCATGATTGCTTAGATAGTATTTTTATTGTTTGGGTTGGGTTGTTGTCTGGGAAAATAATGCGTAAATAGATATTCACTATTTGGATTAATAAAAATGCAGTTCAGTATAAGAAAGTACTAATTACAAGTAATTTGCTATTAGCTGTATTGACATTTAGTAGAAAGTAACAGGAAGTTTTACTTGACAGTTTCATGAACATGTTCACATCTGTAGAAAAGTGACCATTTTGCAGAATTGAATTTTCTGGCTAAAAACCAGTAAAGTGTTTAATCAAGTGTTCACTGTTAATCATATGAAATCAGTGGAACTACATGTCTCAGTTTAGGTATGTCTCTTTTTTTCAGTGCTTCTCATAATAACTCTCTGCAAGCTTTTGAGGTGTTTTTGCTTTTACTTTAAACATGTTCTTATTCTCAGGGAGATCATATTAGTAGCTAAAGTTTGTCAGTTAGTTTGCTTTTTCTTGCTGATGATCACAGAAGGAACAGAGAATTATTAACTTGGGTAGCTGTGAACAAAGGAAAGAGTTGCCTGGCCCTGGCTGTTAGATTTTTTTTCCCTTTTGCCTTTCTCTCTTTTTACTCTTTTTCTCTTTTCTCTCTTTTCTCTCTTTTTATTCCTTTTCCCCTTTTCCTTTGTTCTCTTCTTTTTTTTTCTTTTTTTTTTTTTACAGCAAAGAATAAACCCTACAGAGTATTACAGTTGCTACGTTAAAAAAAAAATGCACTACTCAGTTTTGTCTGAGCTTTGAAGTGGTAGATTATGCACCAAATTTGAAAATACTGTAACCATTTAAACTCCTAGAGTTGGACATTTCTGAGCCTCTTAACAGCGCTTTCTAGGTCTCTGGTTATACTGCCATATCATGTGAAGACATGGAAAATGAGGAGATTATCTTGAAAAGGAGCCAGTCAGGCGATTGGTGGAGAGAGATAAAGGGAGAACACAGCAGGATCCCAGCTGTGATGGGAGGGCAAGGACAGCAAGCACTGGAGCTGCCTGAGAAAGGAGGGCCAGGATAGGTGGGAAGAAGGGGTATTGGTACTCATGAGGGAAGGAGACATCAGTGGGGAAAAACAGAAAAGTAAGCAAAAGGTACTTTTGGCAGCAAGGAGACTGAAGCAGGGTGGGGGACTGAGTGCCTCCAAGTCCAGGAAACCATTTCTGAGATGGTGGAGGGCTGGGATGTGCCCATTTGCAATTACAGACTAATAGCAGGACAAGGAGGGAGACAAGGAGCAGTTTATTTAAGGCAGTGAGACTGAGCTGACATTTAAGGGACAATGAAGAGGCAGAATTGTGGGCAAGAGGCCAAGAAGTCACTAGCTGGATAATCAGAGCTTCCTGGAGAGATTCATTAATGAGAGCAATGTTAAGATCAACCCTCCAAATCCTTCAGGAGTGTTTTCTTGGTGGTAGTTTTGGGGATTTAGTTTAATTTGCCAAATGAGCGAACACCATCTGTTTTCCCTTCATTAATTAGCCAGGCAAAGAACAGAGAAATACTATTTTGTGCTTTGAATTGAAAATTTTCATGCTGCTGGCTTTGTGAGACACTCAGGCTCTGTAAGCTGCTTTCACAAGCAGCTTGAATAAGTAAACAAGTTCTATTTATCTTATCATGGAGCCATCTTTTCAAGAAAGAGATGTGAAAACTGTGAGTGTAGGAGTTTTAACAGCAGCTTGGGCCTTGGCCTGATGTACTTGGACCATCAACCTTAATTAGACAATTTTAACTGCGAGACTGGATGCTATATGTTTTCCTTCTACATGCAGTGCCTTGTTCTGCAATGTCTCATTGACTTCATTTAGTGCTACACATGAAATAAAGGACACCTTTACTGTGAAAAGTGTCAGGATTGAGAGGTTCGTGGACATACCCCATACACTGATGTGAGAGGTCTTTGCAGAAAACCTGCAAACATTCACACAGTGTCTGGTCTGTAGGAAATTAACTTTAAAACCATCCTTTCACTGTTGAAGCCCTCTTCAATAGCTTTGTACAGTTCCTAATTTCATGCCTAACTTTGGAATGAAATCAGGTCTGAAGTTTGCATGTGTGTTTTCGTATATGATTGGAAAAGTACATGGGCTTGTGAAAATCAGCATTCACCAATTCACAAACATCCCACTGCTTTGCCCACTTGGCTTGGCAGCTGTTTTGAAGGTTACTGGAGAAGACAGGGGATCGGGAATGAAATAATATAGCCGGAGAGGTACTTCAGCCTGTGGTGATGTGTGGGGTGAGGGAATATGTTTGAGGAGCCTGCCTTTTGCTAGCAGTGCTGTGGCAGAGCCAGTCCCACAGCAGATTCAACCAGCGGGGTCTTCCTGCTCCAGCTCCTTCTGAGGCATCCTGGTTACTTTTTCCATTTCTGTTTTTTAATAACTGATAACTGATTAACTATACAGACAAAATATTCTGGCATTCAAAAACGTGTGCTGCTTCTGTGTTGATCTCTTATCTGAATAGACTTTCCTTCCCTAATTTGGACAATGCAAGCTTTAGCAGTAATTACCTGTTCATTTCTATGAACACAATTTTTCCATGTTGTGCAGCATGGAAGAATCCTTTCTGAGAAAGTTCATAGAGAAAAATAGAGTAAGTCAATAACATTGCCTCATATAGCCCACATTTTCAACTTCTATCAGTCAGTTCCTTGGTGAATAATATTACCTGCACTTCATAGTTTTGAAACTGAAGCAGAAAGTAACGTTTAAAATGTTCCCTAGTTTTGGTATATATTGATGAGTATTTCTCAGTGTAAGTTCTGAAAGTGAAACAAAAGTAATATTAAACATGGTTTTGGCATTTGCCCAAATTCTCCCCATATTTCCCCAGGGCAAAATGGAAACAGGAAGGAATCCAGACATTCCTTTGTGCTAAACAAAATTAACTGGATTTCTTCTCTTTTTAAGTTCAAAAATGACAAAACTGGAGCTGTTCTAAATCTCCTTCCTGAGATTCTAGATAAGTGACACAGCTTGTAGTTGCTGCCCCTTGCAAAGGGCAGCTGTTGTGCACTTTGTGGTAACTAGCTTTTCCATTACTTAAGCAATGACATATTTAGCCATTTCATACACATATAGTTCTGCTTGTGAGAAAGCTCCAGAATCCTCCCTGTGCCTGGCTCTGCAGGGCTCACCCATCACTCTACAGCTGTGGTCAGCACCCGAAGGGACAGTGTATTCCTTTACAGACTATTACTGATTGCTAATGAAATCCTCACCTCCATGAGAAGTTCGTGGTTCATGCAATAGCTGCTGTGGTTCAGGTGGTTGCCAGCAAAAGCTAGAAGTGCACGTGGATGGTCTATGCCCATTCCGTAGATGACTTTGATCAGAGTATTTTGCAAACCACTGTTGATTGCTGCATGGCCAGGCTGGGTTGGACCTGGGAATGGGTAGGAAGAGTGAGAGTATCAGTTTATTTTGTCAAAGTTTTTCTGGATAAAATAAAAAATGCAACTTCATCTTGGGATCACTGACAAACTCCCGGTGTTGAACATAAACCAGGCTTTTGCAATGTCATCTCTGTACCTCCGGAGCAACATACACATTAATAAAGAATTAATATCGCTAATGAAATCACTGTCAAGGTCTTTCATGTATCACCCACCTCCAAGGTTCCCTTCCAGTCAAGGAAATGGAACAGTGGAGGGAAGGTGCCCAACAGCCAGGAAACCTCAGGTGTTTATTTCAAACTATGTTTCCAAAACAAGCAGCTCTCACTCTTTGCAAGATCATTTTTAATCCACCTAACAGCACACATATCTGACTGTAGCTACATCCTGCTCTGCTGAAGGTGGGGCTTTCTCTGCTGAGACAGGGTTTTGGCACAATACTGCATGGTCCCTGGGAATGGTACCTAGGTTTTAATTTGGATTGAGAGGAGCTAAGTACATTCTTATGCATATAAGATGCATATTATACAAACCTCTGTACATAAAGCTCTAGCTGCTAGGCTTCAGCACATGCTGAACGGCAAATAAGGTAGCTGAGAGATGATGCCTTCAGTCAAGATGCAAGATCGAAGGATAATGATCTCAATTATTCCTGGCAAATGGGGCAAAAAATTAACATAAATGGTGTTTCTTAACTTCAGGTCCAGTCCGATATCTCTGAACTGAGATACTGAAAACTTGTCTGGGATTACTTTTTTTGTTGTTCTTTTTTTCTGAGTACGTAACAACATACAGCTCTTTCATGTGAAAAAACAGCTTTCTTCAGGGGTTGTTCCAGGTAAACACTCCATACTTAAATGAATCACAGCATAAAGTGCGAAGAAAATGAGAAATATAGAGTCAGTCACTGCCCATTAATATTTGTTTAAAGTAAATTGCCTAAATTTATTTAAGAATTCTAGTAAGGAAAAGAATCTTTCAGATTAGCTACAAATTTTTCCCATCTGTGGTGAATTCATTCACTCAAGGTGGAAGTGGCAACTTAGTTTTGAGACAAGAACCTTTTTAATGCTATCTGGTCATAGTTGCTATCCCAACCCTGTGCTATGACCTTGGTGATAGATTTGAGACTACACCCTCAGTTCTTCTTAATCTGGAGTGTAATGAGAGAATTAAAGCGCTACAGAGAAAACGAAAAGGTGGCTGGTGAATGTTCATAGAATCATGGAATAGTTAGGGTTGGAAAGGACCTTAAGATCATCTAGTTCCAACCCCCCTGCCATGGGCAGGGAAACCTCACACTAAAACATGCCACCTAAGGCTTTGTCCAACCTAGCCTTGAACGCTGCCAGGGATGGAGCATTCGCAACCTCCCTGGGCAACCCATTCCAGTGCCTCACCACCCTAAAAGGAAAGAATTTCCTCCTTATATCCAATCTAAACCTCCCCTGTTTAAGTTTTAACCCGTTACCCCTTGTCCCATCACTACAGTCCCTAATGAAGAGTCCCTCCCCAGCATCCCTATAGGCCCCCTTCAGATACTGGAAGGCTGCTATGAGGTCTCCACGCAGCCTTCTCTTCTCCAGGCTGAACAGCCCCAACTTTCACAGCCTCTCTTCATACGGGAGGTGCTCCAGTCCCCTGATCATCCTCGTGGCCCTTCTTTGGACTTGTTCCAACAGTTCCATGTCCTTTTTATGTTGAGGACACCAGAACTGCACACAATACTCCAGGTGAGGTCTCACAAGAGCAGAGTAGAGGGGCAGGATCACCTCCTTCGACCTGCTGGTCACGCTCCTTTTGATGCAGCCCAGGATACGGTTGGCTTTCTGGGCTGCGAGCGCACACTGAAGCCTGCTCATGTTTTCTCACCAACCAACACCCTGAAGTCCTTGTCCACAGAGCTGCTCTGAATCTCTTCTCTGCCCAGCCTGTAGCTGTGCCTGGGATTGCTCCCACTCAGGTGTAGGACCCTGCACTTGGCATGGTTAAACTTCATGAGGTTGGCATCAGCCCACCTCACAAGCATGTCAAGATCCCTCTGGATGGCATTCCTTCCCTCCAGCGTATCAACCAAACCACACAGCTTGGTGTCATTGGCAAACTTGCTGAGGGTGCACTCAATCCCACTGTCCATGTCAGCGATGAAGATGTTACACAAGACCGGTCCCAACACCAATCGCTGAGGAACACCACTTGTTACTGGTTTCCAGCTGGACATTGAGCCATTGACCACAACTCTTTGCGTGCAGCCATCCAGCCAGTTCTTTATCCACCGAGTGGTCCATCCATCAAATTGATGTCTCTCCAATTTAGAGACAAGGATGTCGTGTGGGACAGTGTCGAACGCTTTACACAAGTCCAGGTAGATGACATCAACTGCTCTACCCCTGTCCATCAGTTCTGTAGCCCCATCATAGAAGGCCACCAAATTGGTCAGGCAGGATTTCCCCTTAGTGAAGCCATGCTGGCTGTCACCAAGCACCTTGTTGCTTTTCATGTGCCTTAGCATGCCTTCCAGGAGAATCTGCTCCAAGATTTTGCCAGGCACAGAGGTGAGACTGACTGGTCTGTAAGTCCCTGGGTCATCCATTTTCCCCTTCTTGAAAATGGGGGTTATATTTCCCTTTTTCCAGTCATCGGGAACTTCACCTGACTACCATGATTTCTCAAATCTGATGGCCAGCGGGTCAGGGGGTCTTTAACAGATCCCCACAGTAATGTCTCCCATAGCTATATTGCCTTTAACCCCAACCCTTGTTGTTTTTCATGTGCCATGGTTCATGGACTCAGAGAAAAAAAACACAAAAGAAAGGAAAAAAAAAAACCCAACAAAGCAAAAAACCTGTACACATAAATTTTGTGGGTGATATTATCAGATTGTTGCACTTACTGACTGGCTGTTTCAAGCTCCTCTTGGTCAGAAATTAAAGAGCTAAAAGGAGTGGATTTTAAAATATGTTCTCTAGCAGAGAAGTACATATTAAACCATGAATGTACCAAAATAAGATTAAAAATAATTTAATCCCATTTAGCAATCTTTAGATACGTGTCACAAAATATTTCTATATACTAATTCATCACCTTGCTGACAGCTCAATTTCCAATTGCTAAAAACGTTTTTACTGGTAGTGGAAAATACTTTTAAAGACCAGAACTTTTCATATAAGTTCCATTTATGTTTAGGGTTTTTTTAAACTCTTCTGCCATAATAAAAATGATGCTGTTTGTCATATGCTCTTTCTGTCTTCAGTTTTAAACTGGGAAGTGAGTCCTCATCTGTAGCAGCTTATGAATATGAACAATACCAACTTCGTTCTCATTTATGCTTAAGTACAGAAAAAGTTAACTTCTAAGAAAGGGGGAAAGAAGATTTATGAAATTCAGACAAAATTTCATTCTTTTATATTAACAAGACATAATGTTTTACTATGAGGTTAATAGAAGCAGAGGGAAATGCATAAAGCATTTACTTCCATTAAAAAAGCAGCACACCTGCCATGGAAAAAAAAAAAAAACACAAGTCAAAAAGGAAGTTTAAACAATTTACTTATTGCAAGGTTTGCTAGGACTTTGTAGACACTAAGTGGAAAACAAACCTGATGTGTAACTTGCATGTGTGTTCTTTTCATTCAGTGCAAACAGCTCTCTTTGCAGTTACTTGCCAGTAACTTAAACTATTTAGCAGTTATTTATTTTTTCTGCAGTATCAAGAGTCATATATTGTTATAATACAGGAAAAATCCTCTTCTTGCTCTTTTCTGTAAGTGGTCTTTATTTGAAATATGAAAAATTCAGACCCTAATCCTGATTGTTTCTGAGCAGACCTTCTTTCATACTGACCAGCCTGATCTTTTGCTCTCATTTTTCTTGCCACTACAATACTAATAATAAAGCATTAGACACTAAAGCTAGTTACCAGAAAATACTTAGTACAAATCAGTCTGTTTATATCTGCGCAAACTCTAGACCAGCAGCAAATACAAGGTAATTTGTGGTTTTATTTACCTCAAAGTGAAGCATGAAAATTCCGTGCTGACTTGTGGATTAAATCAAGGTTTCATTTTTCATTTGGAGAGCTGGTTTTTCTTATTTTTATAAAATGCCAGCTTTTTTATTGAAAACTTTCTGCTGGAAAACTTACAAAATTTGTTCTGGTCTGCCTCAGTGATTTCACAGGTGAGGCATTTAGTGCAGATGTGCACTTCAAACTAAACAACAAATAAATAAACAAAAAAAAAAACACCACCAAAAACCAAAAACCAACCAACACCAAAACTATACCAAGGCAACACTGTGAAAATAAAAATTACAGAGTGCTGGGTATTTCTATTTCCCTCCCCTTCAGAGGGAGTGATTGCCAGCTTTGCTTCCAGAGGAATCAACGCTTAAGAAAGTCACATTGTCCCTACCATCCACCTGTCAGCCCTTAGACTTATGGTGGAAAAACCTTGAAGATACTAAATTCCTCCTAGTTTTGTAAAGATAAGCTGTTCAGTAGTGAGACCTCAATTAATGCTCCTTCAGAGACAGCAGCTGAAACCTGAACCCTTCTGTGACTATATATTACATACCTGGGGCTGGAGGCAGGAAAGTCGTCATTCACTGGCTTCTGTTCTCAAAAATAATCTGTTTATAAAGACACTTTCATTTATGTCCTTTTATCACGTGCCATTTCTTACATCGCATGCACATTTGTCGCCCAGGAAAGGCTCCTGAGCAGCCAAATACCTTCTGAGAGTGGGCTTCTGTTCTGGTATGAGAAATGTCAGAGTGCAGGGGAATGCAAGAGACTGTGAGAGTAAAATCAAGTGATTTTCTGTTATGGTGAAAGCAGGAAGGACAATATTCAAATCCATAAAAAACATTCAGTTACCACACACAGATCATTCTCTCTTGCTGCTTTGATATACCTCCCTGTAGTTACAGGTATGTGGACAGCAAAGGAGGTTGGGAGCTAGAACGAGTATTAAATAGCAGTGAAATCATAACAGAAGGGAAAATAAGAAAGTGGAAGTCAGGAAAATAAATAGTAAAAAACAGCCAATTTAAAGTCTAGCACTGAAATGGAACTTTGGATATTTGGAAACTGAAATCGTATTTTAAAATATGATCATGGCCATCCAGTGGCCACTTGGAAGATGTTTGACATCTGTATAAGGACCTGATGAACAATGTGCTCTATCTTTTAATTCTGGAGAGCTGCAGTTGTATAAAAAGGGTTAGAATGTAATTTTAAGCAGGAAACTTACTCCTGATGATGTGTTATTTATGACTTGTTGAGAACTTACAAATTTGATAGGTGAGTAACTGTTGTTTATATCCATATAGGATATGGTAGACATTTGTATCTCCGGGTATAATCTTCGTTCTTTAATTTTCTCTTCTTAAAATGCATATTAAATCGCGTGTTTAACCAACATTATTAGATTGTTTTCATTTACCTGTTGTAATGAATGCTACCCACACTCTTGCAATATATTTTTAGTAAAGAAAAGTTAGAAACTGTATACATTACAGAACAGAACTTTGGGCAGGCAAAGGTCAGAGCTTCTGCAGGACCCCATTAAGTAGTTTGAGGCACTTCTCCCTGTAGAATTGATGCACTGGGTCACTCGGTCTTAAGCACTTATCCAGGGGATCATAAAGTGGATTAAAATAGCCCAGAACTTTCAAAACATGCTGAGCATATGCCATCCCTCCCCTACACCAAGCTACAGGAGCATCTCTTGCCCAGGCAGGCACACAACCTCTCCAAATACATTGTGGAAGGAGATAGGCAAACAGAGACCTGTAGGGTGGTTTGGTCATATGTCTGGCCATGCCACCTCAGGAGAGACCTTTCCCTGCTCTCTGGTGGGAGCACCTGCCCCTCCACCATTCCCCTTGGCGCTTGCTGCATGCCCACCTCTCCTGCAGCTCAGCTTCAGCCACAGGCCAAGCCAACAAGCCTTGGTATGGAGAACCGGGGCAGGCTGGGGTGGGGATGGTGCTCCTCTGCATGACATAATGGTCCGCATCCACCTCAGGGTGATAGCTTGGTTTTGGTTGTTTTTTTAATCCTTTGGCTTGTGTTCTAGTGAAACTAACAACACTTGTTAAACAATGACATGAGAATTACAAGGTGCAGCTGTACAACCACAGATGGGGATTCTTGCCAGTATGAACAGGGTGTCTTCTGCAGCATGTTGAATTTTTAATCCTTCATTTGTGCAGCAGGTTGAAGCATGTAAGCACCAGATGGGGCCCTTCTGATATACAGGACTTTGTTGTCTTCACTGCTGAGGGCAGCAGGCCTGGAGGGCAGCCCTTGTGCTGGACTTCTGCAGCAACAGAGCTGGTTTCTGGTAATCTGTGGCTCACCCTCACAGTATTAGGGGCTTTCCACAATTCAGTTTTTGCTTCCATAGCTCTGTTCTGCTACAAACACTGAAATGTAAGCATACTAATAAGCCACATAATAAACCACTTAAGCAGTGCTTTAAATATTAGAAGTGTCATTTGTCTTTCTTCTTCTCCTCCCATCAGATCATTTTCCACCTTCTTCATATTTTTGATTCAATATTGGGCTGATATTACATTACTTGACCTGAAAGTAAATAAAAAACAGTTACAGTAGATGTGAATAAGTGGTCAGGAGTAGATAACATTTACAAGAGAGTTCCTCAGAAACTCGTATCAGAAACCACAGAGCTGGGTCTCTATCACTGGAGGTTGAGTGACCCAGCCATCAGAGGCTACCAATACGTTCAAAAACTGCTTTAGTGGGGCCAGAGGAATGCCAAAATGATAGGACTGGCTGCCATTCCTCGTGAGATCATACAGTCTGTGATAGAAACTGAAATCAAGGGACGTATGGAGAACACAATCTGTTGTGAAGGTGGTGGAGAGGTTCCAGTGAAGTCTGGCATAATCGACATTTGGAGGAAGGGCAGTAAGTATGCCGATACAGGGGGTCGTGTGGGCATAATAATCCTCTTGCATTTTCAAAAAGCCTTTGAGAAGCTTTTTGCAAAGCTGATTAAGTTTGTAAAGAACCTAAGTTGCCGCAAGATGGGATGAGAAGTTGGGTTTTGGGCTGAAAGCTGGTGTAAGAAAAGGAAGAACAGTGAAGGACAGGATGTAGTCACATCAGAAGCAGTGAGTTTCTCATGCACCTAAACTTGTTCATCACATCAGCAGCAGCTCTGCTGACATGCAGAGTCAGCTAATGAGTGTGCTTGGCAACAGCTTTGAATCCAAGTGCACTGAACTCCCACACTGTCCTGAAAATATGGGCCAGTTAGTCACATGTGAATCAGTGCAAGTAAGGCTACAGCTTCCACAAGTTTAAAAAAAACCTTCCTCCTGGACTTGGCTGCAGTTATTTCTTTGCCATGAAAAATGTCATTACCCTTTTGTCAGCAAAGACTGCATATTTGTTTTCATTGCCTATCTGAGATACTAGCTAGAAAGCTTCCATAGAGATAACTTGAAACAAAATAATAATGTCACAGTGTAAAATGTGTGAGGCTAAGTATGCCTTTTTTTTCTGAACGCTGTCAAAGACTCCCTTTACTGCGGTTTTGTCTTTGTATGTCAGCAGCAATGGGAACTGCCTGCTGGCTGAAAAGTTTGTTGATACAGGATATTTGACTTCCAGTTTGCCAAAGAGGGGTGCCAAGCAATCCTCTATAATCTTCATCTCTCCTTTAAATGGATCTTTATGGCTTTCCCTTTAAGTGCCCATGTAACTTGCAGAATGCATCTAGATAGGGGTGCCAAGAAACTTCTCTGTTCCTGAGGTTTATCACCCTGCAAAAATAAACTCATTTTCTTTTCTACTTTTTGCTTGTTTGTTTGAAATGTATTACACAGTCCCTCAGCAATGCAGAGAGAAATGGGGTTACAGACCTACTTCCACAGAAGAACAGATGGCACTTTCATCCAGTTTTAGTGCTTACCTTTTAAATGTTATTTCGAATTTGATGGCTGAAGAGTTACTAAAACACTGTGGTGTTTCAGTCTGTTACCTTTAGGTGCTGTTCGCAAGGTGAGATGAGTGCCACATTCACCATCTGCATAATTTGCCAAGGTTCATGTTTCCAGCAGTTCTAATTAGTTTCCCAGGTGGTTCAAGGAAGGAGTGAAATGAAAGCCAGTGTTTTCTGCCACCCTCCATCTCTGCCTCATACACTTGGGCAGAACTAGGTCCACAGCAAAGACTAAGCTATGCTAATTGGAGCTATGCTAATTGTGTTAATTGAGTCACTTCTCACTACAGCTGCCTCATTTACCAGCCTGTATTTTCTGTGTGTTGTGTGCAAGACTGCATGTGTATACGTATCACAGAATCAGAATTGTTTGTGTTGGAAGAGACCTTGCAGATCACCTAGTTCCAATCCAAGTATGTAAACATATGCATGTGTATATGTGTGTGTATATTTATTTGCTTATTTAGCTACACTAGTATTGTAAAGAACATTTCTCTCAAAGGTTTCCTCATTTTCAACAGCTAAACCACTACAAGTTTGAATTTAAATATTCAAACTTCTTCTTTTTCTAGGAGGGAAACAGAAAGAAAACCTCTACCTGTCATCTTAGCTTTCTAAGGAAAGCTAGATTGAAAAGCAGAAGAAGCTGGCATGTGATGAAAAACAGGGAAACAAAACTGTTGGTAAATTATCTGTTTGTTTGGTTTGCTTTATGTTTGGCTGGATTTTTTTTCAGTAGGCCCTGTAAAATTTGTAATAAAAAATATAAATACTATTTGAGATGATTAGCATAAAATATGTATTAATGTTTATGATTTCTAAAAATGGTTCAGCCAGTCAATACACTCTTGGCATAAAACTTTGGCAGTTGCATCAGTTGTCACCTCCCACATTTTTCCATTTTGGAATAGTATCTTTCTCAGAGTATGGACTCTTGCAGGAAAAGGTCTGTTAATCACTCTGTTGACAATCATGTTAAGACCGGTGTTGCCTGAGTTCTTGCCTGGGGGATTAACAGCACCATGTGTTCACATAATAGGGAGCGTTTACTTATCATTTAGGATACCTAAAATATTTTTACTCTGTTTTGTTGGGTTTTTTTACTCTAATGTGCAAGTGTTTTCTGACAGAGAACATGCCATTGCAGGATGGATTTGGTCTCAGGTATTTGTGTTCATTTTATTTTAATTACAGAGTGTCCATTTTGAAAACAGTGCTTTAACCATCACGTGTATGCTAAAAAATCCACATGGCATTTCAGAAATTGTCAACCTGATTTTGAAAAGATAGATGTTATTTGACAACAAGAAGTTTAAATACTTTAACTGAGGGTCTTCACACTGCTTTCTTCTTCCACTGTGACAGTCCCTCGGTGCTGGTCTCTCCTAATAGCACAGAGGAGCTGTGGCAGCGACTCAGTGTCATGACGTTGGTCCTTCTCCTGCAGGAGCCTGGAAGGCAAGCACTGCCTTACCACTCTGGTCAAGCGCCTCTGTTTGCCTCTGCTGACCCAGCTGCTCAGCGTTGGCTCCGCAGCAACGTCAGCTTGCTCTGCCCGTCGCGTGTGCTGCGCTCCTGCTTACCGACGTCATGATGTGATGGCCGTGACTGCCCGGCTGGACGCTCGCACTTAGGCTTCGAGTTTCCCCACAGCTGCTGAACGACACAGCCACTGCTGCCTGGGCTGCTCATACTGCTGCCGCTGCCGCTGCTGCTGCTGCTGCTGCTGCTGCCGCCGCGCATCTGGCGTGCGGCTGGAGCCCCTCGCTGCGCACGGCAGGCACTAAGTTAGCCAGGCTGGTTGCAGGCGAGGGAACACAGCAAGAGCTTTGGAGGTCACAGCAGCGAGGCGGAGCGTGGACGCCAACAAATACAAATCCAAGCCAGCTGGGGATTTGTAATGTAAGCAGCATTTCCAGGTTTCTTTTCTGCTTTGCTCTCATGCTGCTGTTGGAGTTGAGATCATGTATGTGTTTTGCTGTTGATTACGGAGGAAGGGGAGGGGGTGTGTGGGGGTGTTAAAATCTAAGGAGGGAAGAGGATTCTGAAGGATTGATCTGTTAGTTTTGACTTAAGGGTTTGGTTTTTTTCATCCGTGCGCTTTGTGTTTGCTAATGCAGCTTTGTCTTTATTTTAGGTCGGTTAATATTGCAGCCTTTGGGAATGAAAGAGATGGGCCTTCTGAGGACAATCAACAGCCAAGCCTGATATGGAGCTATCTCAGGAGAAGCGCTCTCATTTCTGAGATTGACTGCAGCTTGTCTGCCAGTCACGTTGGAAACCCAGGTTTTACTGAGTACCAAGCCTCTGTGTTTGGAAACGTCAGACTGGTGGTACGCGACTGTCCTGTCTGGGTAAGAGATCAGTCTCTGTCTTTTCAACTGGAGTTAACTGTAAGCTGTTTTAATAGGATGAAAATATATCTTAATTTTTCTTTTTTTATTGACAGATTTTATTCACATTGTAATTATTCCAAATAACAAAAGCACATAAAGCATAAGCCAGCAAATGATGCAAAGTCATAGGTGCTGCAGAAGGTTTCTCATTAACAAGCTGCTGCCCACCTCCTCTGCAGGAAGGTGGTATTTTCAGCTGTGCTATTGAGTGAAAACTTTATTGAAGATAATCCGGAGGCAAACAAGAACCTCCTTTTTGTGACACTTCATCACAAGAACTCCCTTCAAATACTGATAAACAATAAAACAAAACATATATATATTTTTTTTTCTCTAAAAATGAAAAGGCAGTTAGTTTTCTGGCTTTGAAAAATAACTTATTAGAAGACTTGATATCTTGTAAAAAACCGCGTATGGAGTCATTTTACTTCTGTTATGAAAAAAAATATCACATTTTAACATTATTTCCTTTATTTGAAGGTAAATAAAGTGGATTTTGGCACTGTTCCAAGTTGTTAGCACGTTCATTAGTAGGTAGGAGACATTAGTTATGAATATGAGCAGATCAATGTGTAAGAAATGATACTGGTAATCTGAATTAAAACATATTTAATGACTACTTAGTAGCCTTAAAAAAAATAAAGCTTAGCAGCTTTTAGAAATTACAACAATAGTAAGTTTCAGCTCCATAATTCTATCCTTAAGTTTGATTTTTGCTGTCCTGCAAGGGAAACTGTTTTGGGGATCTCCAGGAATCACAATAGTTCCAGAAATACATACAGTTTGTAATCTTAAAACTCAATAGCTACCCTTCTGCTCTGTGCTTCGCACGCTTTTTTGTCAGCTGCACTTTCCTGACACTGGTTCAGATGGACTGAGGGATCCTGGGTTTAGTCTTTGAAGCTACATGTGACCTGCACATGCAGTTTGCTGAAGTCATTGGAGCGCAGCAATGAGTTAAAGCTCCTGAATATAAATTAAGGCAGTATGACTTCAACAGGGTGTTTCAGAGGATTGGAGGGTGAGAAGGTGAGCAGGGATAGCTGGAGAAGGGGAAGAAGGAACCTGCACTGGAGACACAGTTCATGTGTTTTCATGTTTTTACATTTGCATTTGCTCTTCTACAAAACAGGGTTCTTTAGTTCTGGAGAACTTATCATTTTTGCCCTTGAACAGCTAGCTTGGTATTGTCTGGGGCCTCATATATGTTTCTGAGGTCTCTTGTGCTTTTCTTCTCTCAGCTAAAGGAGGGCAGGAGGTTACTGGGAATGATGAGGAATAATTGGCATGTTTTACTTAGTAGAAGACTTCTCAGGTACATGGAGTAGAGGACATTATTCATTCTGAGTGAAGCTGCCTTCTTGCTGTGGTTAGGTGGAACAAGATTGTTTTCCAGAGTCTGGATGTTTGAGGTTTGTTATGTCAGGGTTGTCCTTTCAGGACTGTTCGTCTGGTAGCCTGGGGAGATGGTACAAGAATTTCAGAGTGTTAGCTGACACTGCCTCAAGTAATTGACTTTTCTTCATAGAAAAGGATTCTTGCTGCAAGTTACTGAAACATAGAGGTGGTGGTGTGGTGGGCCTTGCATTATTTCCGCCTATATCATGTGAGTGTAACATAAAGGCAGATTTGCATTTAAATGAGATTTGTATCTCATCCAGATTAAATTCACATGATTAAGGCAAGCCAGTCCTAGACATAAACTTGGTAATGGCACACTGGTAGCTTTGAATCTCCAAACTCAAGGGTGCTCAGCTGTTGTTGTCCTCTACAGCTCAGTCTGGAAAAGCAGCATGGATGCAAGTCTATCAAGTAGAGATCCCCAGTGCAAGGAGGGACGCTTCAGTAAGACAAAATGTGGTACAGGGTGGATTTGCTCATGCTTCAGTCCTCTGCAAGTCTATCAAGTAGAGATCCCCAGTGCAAGGAGGGACGCTTCAGTAAGACAAAATGTGGTACAGGGTGGATTTGCTCATGCTTCAGTCCTCTGCTCCATGTTTCTCCAAGCTGGGACACTGCTCAGCTTTGTGAGTCTGAAGGACAGGTCAACAGCTCAGGTGTCTTCCTGGTATTCCTGATTTATTATGTTATAGGATATCTTACTATGTACTGTGTATCTCAGATGGCTGCATTAAAGTTTTCCAACAGCCTTCAGTGCCAGTGTACTAATGGTTTTTGGAAACTTGGAGGGTCTGGACCATATGGTCAACCCTGCTGTGGTGAGATTGTCCTTTTGGGCACATGACCGGTAGAGAGCAGCAGTGCTGCCATGGGAGTGTGGTATTTTATAAGCTGAAGGTGAATGAAGGTGGCTGCCAAACTGCAGAGCTAGGAAGCAAGGCTTCTTGGGCATGACTACCCAAGGCAATGCCTATCAAATGTTACAGACAGACACAGGGGAATGGTGTTTCCAGCCTGCTGTGAGACTGCTGCTTTCATATCTCCATAAATATTTTAACTGCCTGTGCAGTTACTATATTCTTTGTTATTGCTTGGCTTGGAAATGACACCGATAAAATCATATTTGCCAACGTGTAAAACAGCATCAGCATGTTGTGAAAACTCTTTCTCATGGCAGTTGCTGGGTGCAGGATGGAAGTGCTGAATTTAGGGAGGGTGTTATTCATGCAGATGAAACAGGATCGTAGAGATAGGGGTAGAGCATACCTTTCAAAATCTGGGGGAAAATGCCACTGTTCCCAAAACTACACTGATCTTCATGTGTCAGTCACTAGGTATATCACTATGGCCCACTGTGTCCTTCACTGCTCTTGCAAAGCTGTGTGCTGGTATCTCTCACATGCACAGGACGCATGTTCTTGTGATTCACATGGCTGGAAAATGTTTTGACAAAAAGTGCAGACCTAAGATGGGAGAAGATACAAAGAACTAGGGAAAACATACGTGTGTACTAACATCCATGGTGAATATTGTGATCTTATTAGCTGACTAGTTGCTAATGCATGCTCAAGTTGGGCTCTCATAAAGCATATTGAACTATCATATCCCAGATTTTCTAATTTGGGGTTGGGGATAAACTTCAGTATAGGAGCTAGTAACTTAAAAGGAGTAAAGATGCAAGATGAATTTTAAGATTTCCTTTGCAAAAGGTTGCTTTATTTAGCAATCTATATCAGATTTGACAGTCTTCGAGACTCAGTTGCCATTATATTGGCTCGTGCGTAGTTTGCAGCATTCTAAATTTTGTTGTGCTTCTGCAAATGTACAAGCGAAAACCAAAGAAAAAGTGCAGGCAGAATTTGTCATATCTGGTGGCAAATGTATCTTTCTTAGCTACAGAATAAAGGATGAAACAGGAGCTCTGATTTGTATTTTGATTAATTTAATTATGATGCTGGAAAATAAGTGGCAGAATTAAAACTTCACTGTGAGTCTCACCTACCTGAGTTAACTCTCCTGTTCTTTCCCCTCTCACATGGGGCAATACTATAAGGATACAGGAGTGTTATAGCCCTTCAACCCTGTGAGCATTCTTATGCACATCCACAGTGTAGTTACCTGGCTTTTTCCTGCCTCAGCATTCTTGCGCTCCTTGTGCTGGCTAGACTGGATGGCCCTTATTATTTTTGAAGATAAAGGAATCTGATCCGCTTTTTAATTTTATTTATTGTTTTTAGAAATCAACATTAATTACTGCTTCAATACAAAACCATAGCTTGAAACTTTTAAATTTTTAATATGTCTTCCTGTCTCATTTTTAAGCTTGGCCATCTGAAGTTGGAAGTTTATACAAGGGATATATCCTGATAAGTTATTTTCCCTACTGTGTTCTTTATTATTGCTTTCTGTGAAGTCATTAAATTTATGAGAGGATAATAAAGGACAATGCTAGCTTTTATTTATTTATTTCTTGGGGGGTGAAGGGGATGTGTGTCAGCTCAACCAGTTAAAGCTGTTTTGGAAAGCTTTTAAGTGGAAAAACAGAAGCAGCATTCCAGGGTTATGGTCTGAATTTTATTTTTGAAGAAGGTAGGGCCTTCTATGCTGCGTCTTACTTAGCTAAGTAAATTCAGGGGAGTTATGGAATGATGCGGACCTGACTGGTTAGAAATTGCGGTGAAACCTTGAAAAAAATGGGGAAGACTCTGGTATGTGGTGTGGAAAGCATCGCTAGAAAGAAGGCTGTGGTAATGGAGAATGGGTCTGTTAATGGCAAACGGATCTGTAAATGGATGCTTGAGAGATACGAGCTTTTCAGTATTCCCAGTGCAGCTCTCTTGGATCCTGGGAAAACCCAGGTAAATGGTCTGGGGCTTCCTTGCCCCCCCAGAGACTAGGTGGACATGGGGACATTTGCGAGCAGCTTTTAGACAGAGTGTGGGCATTGCAAGGGCACTTGTGCTCTGGATTTCACTGCAATTCCACAAAGGCATTCATAAATTATTTTGAACAAAGCATGTATTGTCCTCTTGAGGGGTCATGCGATTTTGTAGGCAAACTGAAGGCTGTATTTTCAATGTTAATACTTGAGAAGTATGGCTTACTAACAGCAAGAATATATTGTGAGACATGTATATTGGAGACATGCAAGGAAAGAATGAAGTTTTTTTTTTCAAATAAGTCCTGAGAGGCTTAAAGGCAGAAGTATAACTATAATTAATAAGGTCATATTATAACAACTGTAGCTGTAGTTACTTTTTCCTTTTGCCAATGGCTGTCTTGGGAAGTGGACCGTGGCAAGAGCAGGATGCATGATGAGGAGTAGCTGCTACATGAATTTCATAGACAGATTTAAGGTTATTCCTGAATCTGAGCTGCTGTTCACTGTATGAAGAAATTCCCTGTTTCACTTTTGCATGAAAGCTTCCCTTAAAGACATAGTCAAGAAGGATCCAAGTGCTCTGTGTCAGTGATGCTTTGGGTAAATAACCCTTTGCTGTCAGAGATGTTTTGGGAGGATTTTCCCAGCACAGGACAGCAATCTGAGCACTCAGTGCTACGCTTGATGTGAAGTAAAAATAATTACCACAAGGTGTCTGGAAACAGGTCTCCTCTGTGTTTTTAAATGTCACATTCATGTTAAAGAATGGGCTCTTGAGAGTGTTAAATCACATATGTGAGAGCAGAGGGAAACCGCGCAACAGTGACAGAAAGGGGGTGTCATGAAATGTTGGTTTGGCACATTCTGCATTTTTCACTTCTTGATGTAATCAGGGCTGGCCTGTACCCCAGGAAGGTGGAGTCCATCCCCACCAGAGCTTCATAAACTTTGTTAAAATCCTTCTTGGTAGATGAACACACAATGCAGTTGTGGCATGGGGCAGTGGCTGAAAGCATAGACCTCCACAAACCTGCTGCAACATGCAGCTATGCGTGTCTGGGAAGCTGTTGTAGCCTGCGCCACGTTTCCATAGGATTTATTTTCTCTAATATTTAAACAAAGAGGTGTATTTGCACATCTGTTTGGCTGTTTTCAGTAATGATTTTGCTAGTTCTCCCCACACCCGCAGAGATGGAAATATGGCAAGTTGGGCAAAGTGTAAGAAGGGTAGAGAAATTGTATGAGGTAATGGCCATATTTTCTTTTTGTTGTCCTTTTTTTTTCCCTCCTAAAATGTAATGGCTTTCTTATTAGTATTATTTTCACTCGGGGAAAAAAAGTAACAAACCCTTTATTATCAGATTATTTTGCTATATGGTATTGACTTCTCAAGCCACTGTTTTGTTATATGCATGAGCAGGCACATGCAGACAAAAAAGTCTTCTTCAACATACTCTGTTGAGATTCTCACCAAGAAGAAGAGCACTAGAGCTGCCGCTGGTTCAGGTTAGGGCATGGAGGATTTTCAGGCTGATACTGAACAGTGTTCTGCTTCAAGAATCAGGCTAAGGTCTGGGGCTAGAGCAGAGTGCATGGCTGCATGTGAATCAGTCCTCTCTTCTGCTGCTGGTGGGGCTGCTGTCAGGATGGAGCCACAGCCCCAGGAACTTTGGTGTCTGGCGGTTCTGTCCTCAGCTGTCAGTCAGGACTAGATTTATGCTGAAGCTACTCAGAAGAGTCAGAGTTGGTTCTTTCCTTGGGCGTGGCTGTGTTCATATTAACACATATGAACAGAGCCAGATTTCTATTAACTTAGAAATCTTTCCCAAATCTTGCTGTTTTGTAACAGGAAATGGTGTCATAATGCCCTGGAGAATTCTCTCTGTTGTTAAGTGTGCTACAAACCATGTACAAACGAATGACTACATGTAAAAAATGCATGTTACATTCTGTAAGAAGTTTTTATAAACATTTTTTTATTATTAAGGCTTGAACTTGTGGTGGAGTTCTTGCATATTTGTGCACCTGTGCCCTAGACTTTGCTGGTGATAATGCTGGTTATCGCTTTACTCACAGAGATGAGCATGTGCAAACTTGGGCTGTGCTTGAAGACAGCAGCTAGAAGGAAACTGTAGGGCAGTAGGCATGCTTTCTGTCTGCCAGCATGGAGAAACTAAATATTCTGTATTATTTTTTTTTGTTTGTATTCATTTTTTCCCTTAAACTTTTGTCTTATTAATTGCATACAATCCTTGTGAGGCAGATAAAAAGTCACACCCAATTGATGAAACTTGTATTAAAAGTTCATAGCTATGTGACATAGTTCTTTCAATAAAATGTTGTAAATAATGGTTTTGTATTAATTGCTGCAAACCTCTACCACTGAAGCAGCTTTTATTTCCTTAATAAAAACATTTAGAAGTTAAGTAATTAAACAGTAAAGTTGTTTTTTTTCCCTGCTAAGTATATTCCTGGATAAACCCTATTTTTTCTTCTTCCTGAAGAATTCCTGAATTCATAAGAGAGATATATTGTTCATTGTAATGAACAGCTTGTTCTCCAGGCAAGGAAATTACAAAGCATGAATTCTGCTCTTTGTTGCATGTCTTCAAATAAGAGATGAAGTTATCTGTTAAAAATACTTCTGTAAGGTTTTGCATTAAGAGCACTGAATGAATTTCACCTTTCCTTTATAGAGAGAAAATTCTTGATCAATGTTTTTTCTGTTTAGGATATATTTGACAGTGACTGGTATACCTCCCGCAGTCTCATTGGAGGAGCTGATATTGTTGTAATTAAATACTCTGTCAATGATAAGACTTCATTTCAAGAACTAAAGGACAATTACATCCCAATGATAAAAAAAACATTAAACCACTGCTCAGTTCCAGTAATAATTTCTGCTATTGGTGCAAGAAAAAACGGTATGTATCCAGTCTCCTGGAGTAATAGTTAAAATCTGACTTGGAATTTAGTTATGCTGTAATTTCAGCAGAAGCCGGTTGTTTTTCCAAGTTGCAATTACTTGGAAAAATCCACTTTGTCAGGATGACAGCACTATGTACATGTATTATGGTTCCATAGACTGGTGTATTGGAAAGAATATTATGCTTAACCCAGGTGATGAAGGGCATACTGTCCTGCTTTGACCTCTGCAATGACTCTACTTGTGGAGACATCACACACAGAAATTAAACCTAGTCCCTTGGATGAAGCAGCATACATTTGGGTGCATGAGATGAACCCTATGGTTACAAGTTCTCTACTGTTATGTCTCAGGTATCAATTATTTCCATTGAATGAGATTAAGTCCATCAGTTTGCAACCACTGGAGTGGGAAAAGCCTCAAAATTCTCAGGGATGTTGTTAGATGAATGGATACCCTTTGGGTACCACGAAGTGCTGTATGCTGCTTCATCAACAGAGTTGACCTCTTATGGCAGAGTAGCTGTGGTATAGATATGGTATAGCTGTGGCATAGCTTATGATCTCACACAATGCCCTGTCCAGGCTGAGCAGTAGTCTGCTATGAGAACAATTCAAATCAATTGTACACTTAATATTTAAAGTTTTTATTGTATTTCTGTTTAATCAATATGAAAATCACCATTACACAACTGTGTAAGGGCTAAATGGATTTACAAGCAGCTGACACAGGCAAGGCTGCTGAGAACATGTTCACAGTTTGGGTAAACATTAGTAACTCCTGTCTGTTTACAACAGGGAAATAAAATTCAGAAACAATACCACAAATACCAATAGAACAAACATGCAGATTTTACTCCGTGTTTCCAAATGGTTTGCATTGTTCTTTTGTTGATTTTCATATGGTCTTTTTACTCGTGGATCCTGATTTCTCTTTTTTTTAACTAAGCCATGAATACAAAATTTGATCCTGTTGGTTGTCTTCTACTTGATGAGTTTGACTAAAACAAGTGTTTCTGAGCGTCTTTACTGCTATGAATGAGAGACATGATGGATGCAGATGTAGACCTTTTGTTTTAATGTACAAATGAATATTTAGCTATATGAAATGTGTTGTCTGTGAATGTAATTCTTGGTTTTCCAGGGTCTGCTTATAATATATATGTTTACTCAGCAATTGAGAAAGAACTGTTAAAGATCTCTTAACAATTACATCTTTATTTTGTCCCCTTTAGTAGTTCACTCATAACATTCAAATGTTTTTATGCTTTGTTTTATACAGGGGTAGTAAAACTGCCATTCTAAAGACAAGGTCTTGCTAAAATAATGTTTGTCTTTCCAACGCCTTTTATTACACTTTTTATTTAAGCACAGTCTACCACCAGTCTGAATGACTCTGCTACTGGCATTTTACTTTTCCACTAATTTTTTTCTGCCTTCCTCTCAAAATAATGTGACTGTGGGAGAAGTCAGGCTTTCCAGTTACCATTTCGCTTTGGGATCTGCTGGAGTGAACTGCTGTGGGCACACAGAACCCTTTTGTTTCTATTTGTGAAGGTATTTGTGAACACAGCAGGTTGCTCATTCAAAGTACTAAGATCTTAATCCTCTGTAGTACCAAACCATGCTGCTAAAAGAAATAAAAAAAAAAAACAAATAAACTGTTATTTCATGTTACCCATAGGTCTGAGCAGAGGAAATTAATGAAGAGCATGCACAGCACATTTGAAAACGCATCCATGGCATTAAGCAAAGTTGAACTAAGGTGGCTAACAGTTTTTTATCAGTTAACTGGTATAATCTTAAAACTACCTATTTTAGATTAAAAAAAAGTTTATGTTAAACGATATGTAATTGAACCATATTCCACAGTATGTACATAAGAGACAGCAAAATTTCCCTTTCTGTTACTGTAGGTATTTCCTGCATGGGCAGGCCACAGTAATTGAACAAGTTTAAAGGTGGCAATAGTGATTGGTAACACCAGCAGGCTAGTACAACACCTGTGCATAGAAGGGTAGCCAGGCCTTAAGTCAGTCCTGGTTTCTGGAAGTCCTGCTTGGCTTTTCAGCCTTGGCAAAACCAAATGTAAAATAACACTAATGTTATTTACAATGAGCTTTGCAGAACCAGTAATATTTTGAACTGATTAATAAGAAGTTGGGTTTGGTTTTTTTTTCCCCCATATTTAGAGATTTCTTAATATAAAACGGCTGTTTCCATTTCCCTCTTTGTTCTTTTCTAAGTAGTGCATCTTTCCAGTTAAGAAGTTAAACATTCTGTATTATTTGACAAATATGGTTGGTTTGTGCCACTTTTTTCCCTAGGAGTGCCTTGTACCTGCCCACTGTGCACATCGGACAGAAGGAGATGTGTCACCACTGCTGAAGGAGTTCAGCTTGCCAAGGAACTAGGAGCCACTTACCTCGAGCTACACACTCTCAATGACTTCTACATACAGAAATATTTTGGAGGCGTGGTGAGTGAGAAACCACTGGGTTGAAAGCAGGATGGCACCCCCCCAATGTTAGGGCTTCAGAGAGGAAGTGGAGGCACACCACAAGCCTTCCCACTGAGGTCAAGTTCCCACTGATGTGAGATTTAGATTAAATTTAAGGAAGAAGTTCTTCCCTGTGAGGGAGCTGAGGCCCTGGCACAGGTTGCCCAGAGAAGCTGTGGCTGCCCCATCCCTGGCAGTGTTCAAGGTCAAGTTGGCCAGGGCTTGGAGCAACCTGGTCTAGTGGAGAGTGTCCCTGCCCCGTGGTAGTGTGTTGGAACTGGGTGAGCTTTACGGTCCCTTCCAACACAAACCATTCCATGGTTCTATCTGAACTGGCAGTACAGAGCTTGCTCTGGTTTTAACTACCTTCTAGAAAGATTTAGGAAACTTATAATACACACTGCAGTAATTTTCTGTTCCTGTCCTTTTATCTTGCTGGATGGGATAATGGAAAACCCAACTGGACAAGGCACTCGAAAACGCTATACCACTTTGAAGACAAGTTCTGTATTGAGTGGGTGACCTCCACAGGCCCTTTCCAACCTTAGTTATTCCATAATATTCTGTTGTTTTTAATTTTAATTGCTTAAACTCTCACAACTGTTCTATTTTGAAGTGAGACCAGCAAGACTGTTTAATTGCCTCATTTCTAGTGTATTCTTGTGGTTGCTCAGTTCACAGTCATTACTCAGTCTGCAATCCTGAGCAGAGCCTGCGGTCAGCTGCAGCAAAGCTGAGCGAGGCAGAAGCCAAGTGGCTTTTTAAAATATCCCACCTCTAATGAGCTTCTTGTTCTTCTTCCACTCTGAAGGCAGGAAAGCCCACTGAGCAGTTCTGAATACAGTCTTTCAGATTTGTTTGCCTTCACAAAATTTTTTCACACTGAGACTTAATTTTCGGTTTTGTGAAGTGTTTTAAGCTCAACCTAATTTTTTAACCATTTGGATTTGAACACAAAAATGCAGGTTTCTTGGCACAGTAATTTCACATGGTTTTCACAACAGTAAAGACTAGACTCTGTGCTGGTATATGCATATGCTGTATTTTCCATGGGATTCAATCATAACTTGGAATATCTGGCACAACAGTAGCCCATTTTTATTGGATCCATTCATTCCCAATTAAAAAAAAATGAGAAATGCATTGAGCATCTGGTCTGGCCAGAGTAATTTTCAAGGTTTTAGAAAGCACTATATGTGCTACAGTAATAGCTTGGGTGATAAAAGCATTTGAAACATGCATTAAGTTGTGAATGCTCTGTCCCTGGCAGTGTTCAAGACCAGGTTGATCAGAGCCTTGGGTGACATGGTTTAGTGGGAGGTGTCCCCACCTATGGCAGGGGGTTTGGAAGTAGATGATCTTAAGGTCCTTTCCAACCCTAACTATTCTATGGTTCTCTGATTAACTTGACCTGACTCACCCTTTGTGCCTCTTTGTTCCAGTAAAAGGGATCGTTTCCCCTCAAGTACCTTTTTATTGCAGTTATGAAGCCCGTTGCCCACAAAGATCCTGTTGTAATGTAACTTTTTCAGAGGACACAGTAGCATTGCATGGTTGTGGCTGTTAGTTGCAATCTGAAGAACTTGTATATGGTTTTGTTATTTCCATCTCTTCCACCTGATCATCTTTTGTCAAGTCTTATTCTTTTGTGTAATTCTGCAGTTAGCATCTATGGAAGTTCATAAATTGAGTGTCTTTGTGCCTGTCTTTTCTGGGAAGACTAAATACAAAAGAATTAACCAACATAATTTGAATAAATAGTGTTTTAAATTGTGCTAGTTCCGCACCCATGTGGTGCCTTCTTCTGGTAAAGGAGTATTGGGACTCTTCTGGGTGACTGTTCATAATGGCAGTAGCTTCAGTCCTGCATACAATACCCACTCGTTCTCCTTAGTTTGATGTCTAGCTTGCTCTTAAATAACTAGGATATTTTTTAAAATACATTTCATGTTTTAGCTGGAATATTTTATGATCCAAAGTTTGAATCAGAAGTCACCTGAAAAAATGAAGAGAAGGAAAAAGACGCAGAAGTGTCATCGAGTTCAACCACCTCAGCTTGAACAGCCAGGTGCTTGCTGATGTCTGGTCTCTAATATCATTTGTTATGTGTGTCATGTTCTTTGCACAATTAACATCTTGTATTCATTATACTGTGAGCTGTGCTATCTATCATCAGCTATTCTAGTTATGTTGATATAGTTGCATCAACGTTTACTGATGGTTTAATTAACTTGGGGAGAATTGTATAACAGTATGTAAGATTGCAATGGACTTGGAATTTCTTTTAGATTAAAATAATAGGGTGTCGTGGTTTAAACCCAGTCAGGTAACTCGTTCACTCACTCCCCCCCTTCTTTCCCTCCCCCTGCTCCTGGAGGGACGGAGAGGAGAATCAAAAAGAATGCAACTCCCACGGGTTAAGAACAGTTTAGTAACTAAGGTATAACACAGATCACTACTGCTACCACCAATAATAACAATGGTAAAGGAAATAACAAGGGAAGAGAATACAACACCTCACCACCAGCCGACCGATTAACTCGCCCCCCCCAGCCCGACCAAGCTCTGACCGATACCTCCTCCAACCCTGCAGTCTCCCAGCCCTTTCGGGTAACTCCCAGTTACATCCTGGGCATGATGTGCTGTGGTATGGAATACCTCTTTGGTCAGTCTGGGTCAGGTGTCCTGTCTCTGCTTCCTCCTGGCTTCCCCTCCTCCCTGGCAGAGCATGAGGCTCACAAAGTCCTTGGCCAAACCAAAACATCATTGTTATCAGCTCTGTTCCCAGGCTGAAAGTCAAAACACTGCACTGCACCAGCTACCAAGGAGGAGAAAAATGACTGCTACTGCTGAACCCAGGACATAGGGGTAGTTTTCTGGTGCATTTGATGAAATAATGCAAAGGTGAATATTAAAATCTTTACATAAAAGCTTTACAGAAAAAAAGATAAAGTCATTATATCATTTATTATTATTCTTTTTTATTTTTCTTTATTATTCTACAATATCATCAAGTAATATTTTATTTGCTGTGAAAAAAGCAAGGGAGAAGTGTATGCTTCTGCACATGGTTTCCTAAGCTTGATTTCTGAGCATCTGATGCATTTATTCAGTGAAATAATTACTGGAAAGTGGTCATCTCTAAACACATAGTTGTCTCTTCTCACATATTCTAGAAATAAGCTCAGATCCCTTAGGTTTGTGATTCATGGGCAAATGTTTCTTTCAAACATAAGTGCCTAAAGAGGTTTTGTAAAAGGCGAGACACAGAACTAAGTATTTGTTGTATTTCTTGTTTTACTATGCTAGGTATTTTAAATTTTAGCGTATTTTACTAGAGAGACTCAAGTAGCATATAAGAAATTTTCTTATCAAGTACTTCTTTCAAAAATTATCCTTCATTTGATCAGGTCTCTGGAAATAGAGTCATCCTGTGGTTAATATTTCCCTCAATTCTACAGCCTCACTCTTTATCTTAAGCAGAAAAAATGCCCATCTTGAAGGGTGAAGCCTCGCACTATGACGCGGACCTGCACAACCTGCTCTGCTGCTGCCAGTGCGCAGATGTGGCGTTCTACCCTGAGGACTTCAGCACGGTGGTAGAGGCTCACAAGGTCATCCTCTGCTCCGTCAGCCACCTCTTCATGCTGCTTTTTAAGGTGAAGAGCCCTGCAGACATCTGTGACACCTCCATCATGCAGACAGCGCAGAGCCTCTTCACGGTGGAAGCAGAGGCTGCCTTCCCGCTGGCGCCCCGCGGCATCCCACCCTGCATCCCACTGCTGAGGGTGGTGGTGAAGGACTCTGCCTTCTGCTCATGTCTCCCAGACATCCTCCACTTCATCTATTCAGGTACTCACTGGGAATGGGTCTGGCTACTTGTTTCTCATGCGGCTGATATCTTGTGAAGGAGTATCTGCATCACTCTAAGGAATATGCCTTTGCTGTTGGAAGATGATGTTCTTCCTTGATGCTGTATCCATTAATCCAACCTTGTGATTATTACAAACAAGGTCTGCATGAAAAAAATATTATAAAAATATATTCTGTAATATACATTTTATACATATATATATGTATATATACATATATACAATAATAATTACAAATGCAATTTTATTTATAATTTTATTTATTATTTTTATTTATTTAATAAAAAAATATATTATCTTTCATTCCAGATCTAATGAAGATAACTTAAGCACAGTATTTACTGAACAAAGTCCATAAGATAACATCAGTAATATTCAAAAGCTTTGGCAAAAAAATCTGGAGCTTGAGAAAATTTCGATCCCAGGCTTTTAAAATACTTAAAATGTTTGCATGTTTTAAACGCAGTGATGAGAGTGCAGGGATATTTAAACTCAAGTGATTTCTTTTCTGGCTACAGTGCTCCTGAAGAGAAAGCAGTGATAAAAAAACCTCCGGAACAGTGGCTGTCTTATCTCTGGCAGTGTTCAAGGCCAGGTTGGACAGGGCTTGGAGCAACCTGGTCTAGCTATTATTTCTGATTATATAGTTATTATCTCTGATAACTGGTTGAAGTGCAGGTTATGAAGCTCCGATACATTCCATGAGTTTTTGTTACCAGCTCAGTACAGTCATTGCCCTGACCTACCTCATGCCAGCTAGCTATTAAGATGGCACTGACAGTTTTCTAGATATGTAGCTTAGGAATCCCCAGGTGAAAGAGAATTACTGTTTTCCTTCTGGAAGAACCTGATACTGTTTTGTTCTTTATAAAATATTTTTCAAGTAGTCACTACATAAGAATATTTATTTTATAATTGTTGAAAGAATTAGTGTGGTTTTTAATGAAGCATTCTAATTTTAACTTGAATTAAATAAAGTACAAATAATTATCATGTTAGACATTCATCTATAAAGAAGTTTAGTCAATATCTCTATACTGATACCTGCCTGACATATGGAAAGTATTTCTGCCTTAGTAGCTGAGACATGAACACTGGCTTGTGAAGACACAAGGGACACCTTCCGTTTTCAATTAGAGTTTGCACATTGAAAACACCCCTTTCAGTTCTTTCCAAACCGGTATCAAATATAAAGAACATAAGCAGAATTTTTTCAGCATGGATTTATTTTTTTATTTATTTTAATATTTATTGATTGATTGATGACATAAATAGGGAATTTAACCTGAAATTTCAGCAAGTGATAGATCTAAGTGTGGTATCTTCATCTGTTACCATTTACAACTTGTGTCTGCTGCCTTTTGTGCATTAATTTTACTTTTTACTTCTGTTTATGTCAACTAATGGTATAGGATATTTTGTACAGTCATAGGTGAAGCTGTGCTGTAAGCTACAGCTCCCAAACTGAAAGGTGTTGCCAAAAGCCATTGCACTGTTTGGTGCTTTTGAGAGGCGACGAGGTTTCTCAAAGACACCCGAGTTGAGGGTTGAGAAGAGATCAGACATGACGAAGTGTTTTCATCTTTTCAGTATCATGACTTAACCATGAGGTCATGAAAACTTACCATCCATCTGGTGTATATAGGAGCTGATGGGGCTACAGATGCCATATGCTGTATATGCTCTTTCAGACTTTTCTGCAGCAGAATGCCTTCAAGGCTCTGCTGACTTGTGCTTTACCCTGAGCTTTATCTGTCTCTGATTCTTCCTTGCTGCGTGGCCCTGGGGATCAGAGCTGAAAGTTATCAGAATGCCCCATGGCACCTTTCAGACTTTCTCCAGCAAAGTGTGTAAGGATAAATCACTTGCTTTAACCCTAGTCAGTACTTCTCATTTTTCCAAGAAATCTATTAGGATCATAGAATGTTTTGGGTTGGAAAGGACCTTAAAGAATAAGTATTTAAAAAAAAAATTTAGAAGAACACCTAGAAGATTTTTAATATTGAGATACCTAAGGGCATATCATGGCTTTGACTCTGAAAGCAAACTTCATGCTGTTTTTAGCTACTGGTACTGATACTATAACTGCATGAAGTTTTTCTGGTTTGGTCACCTGCAAAGCAGTGTGTTGTTGTTGTTGCTGTTTTTATTTCCTGAATGCCTACCTGCATTGTGTAGAGATTGAACTGGGAGGAATTCAGAATTAGAATTTGAAAGCAAGGGAGATGCCCTTGTCTGTACTTGATTGCATTTTAGTCAAAAACCCCATTGAAGTTTTATTGTACAAGAATCATCTGGCCCTTTCTAAGTACAAAGATCCAGCTGATTTAAGTGCAAAAAAATATAGTTTCTGCAGGACCTGTTTGTCATTGATATAATTTTTTCTCTGCCTGCTAAGGCCTGTGCCTTGTTAATTTATATTCCAACTCTGTTTGGTCTTGTGACAGGTGCTTTCCAGTGGGAACGACTAGAAGAGGATATAAAAAAAAAGGTGAAGGATCCAGAAAAAACTGAAAATGTGCTTGGCAAAGTTAAATGCATCCTGAAAACCCCAAGGAAGGTACATCTAACTGTCTTGGGGTAACTGTTAGTATTAGTTACACTTAAGTTCTTGGGAAATTGTTTTGTAGGTAAGATTTTCTTCCCAGTCTTTCTTCTAAACTTACTTCAGCTTATGCAGCTTTTATTACATTGTGGGTCATTGAGAGGCATGTGCAAAATAGAAATACAAGGATGCTGATGTCATGTACATAGAATCATAGAATCATAGAATAGTTAGGCTTTGAAAGAACCTTAAGATCATCTAGTTCCAATCCCCCTGCCGTGGGCAGGGACACCTTACGCTAAATCATATCACCCAAGGCCTCGTCCAACCTGGTCTTGAACACTGCCAGGGATGGAGCATTCACAGCCTCCCTGGGCAACCCATTCCAGTGCCTCACCACCCTAAAAGGAAAGAATTTCCTTCTTACATCCAATCCACACTTCCCCTGTTTAAGTTTTAACCCATTACCCCTTGTTGTATATCACTACAGTCTCTAATGAAGAGTCCCTCTCCAGCATCCCTATAGGCCCCCTTCAGATACTGGTAGGCTGCTATGAGGTCTCCACGCAGCCTTCTCTTCTCCAGGCTGAACAGCCCCAACTTTCTCAGCCTATCTTCATAGGGGAGGTGCTCCAGTCCCTTGATCATCCTCGTGGCCCTTCTCTGGACTTGTTCCAACAGTTCCATGTCCTTTTTATGTTGAGGACACCAGAACTGCACACAGTACTCCAGGTGAGATCTCACAAGAGCAGAGTAAAAAGGCAGGATCACCTCCTTCGACCTGCTGGTCATGCTCCTTTTGATGCAGCCCAGGATACGGTTGGCTTTCTGGGCTGCAAGCGCACACCGCCGGCCCATGTTCATTTTCTCACTGACTAGCACCCCCAAGTCCTTCTCCGCAGGGCTGCTCTGAATCTCTTCTCTGCCCAGCCTGTAGCTGTGCCTGGGATTGCTCCCACCCAGGTGTAGGACCTTGCACTTGGCATGGTTAAACTCCATGAGGTTGGCATCAGCCCACCTCACAAGTGTGTGAAGGTCCCTCTGGATGGCATTCCTTCCCTCAAGCATATCAACCAAACCACACAGCTTGGTGTCATCGGCAAACTTGCTGAGGGTGCACTCAATCCCACTGTCCATGTCAGCGATGAAGATGTTGAACAAGACCAGTCCCAACACCGATCCCTGAGGTTCACCACTCGTTACTAGTCTCCAGCTGGACATTGAGCCATTGACCACAACTCTTTGCATGCAGCCATCCAGCCAGTTCTTTATCCACCGAGTGGTCCATCCATCAAATTGATGTCTCTCCAATTTAGAGACAAGGATGTCGTGTGGGACAGTGTCAAACGCTTTGCACAAGTCCAGGTAGATGACATCAACTGCTCTACCCCTGTCCATCAGTTCTGTAGCCCCATCATAGAAGGCCACCAAATTGGTCAGGCAGGATTTCCCCTTAGTGAAGCCATGCTGGCTGTCACCAAGCACCTTGTTGCTTTTCATGTGCCTTAGCATGCCTTCTAGGAGAATCTGCTCCAAGATTTTGCCAGGCACAGAGGTGAGACTGACTGGTCTGTAAGTCCCTGGGTCATCCATTTTCCCCTTCTTGACAATGGGGGTTATATTTCCCTTTTTCCAGTCATCGGGAACTTCACCTGACTACCATGATTTCTCAAATCTGATGGCCAGTGGCTTCGCAAGTTCATTTCCCAGCTCCTTCAGGACCCGTGGATGGATCTCATCAGGACCCATGGACTTGTGCAGGTTCATGTTTTTAAGATGGTCTCAAACCAGTTCCTCTCCCACAGTGGGCGCAAGGTCTTCATTCTCACAGTCCCTGCATCCATCTGCCTTCCAAGACTTGGGTGTTTTGGTCAGAGCTTTTGCCAGTGAAGACCGAGTCAAAGAAGTCATTCAGAACCTCAGCCTTCTCCAAATCCTGTGTAGCCAGTTCTCCCGAGAGCTTCCTGAGGGGCCCTACATTCTCCCTAGTCTGTTTTTATTTGCTATGTACCTGTAGAATCCCTTCCTGTTATCTTTAATACCTCTAGCTAAGTTTAATTCTAATTGAGCCTTAGCTTTCCTAACCTGGTCCCTAGCTTCTCAGGCAACATCCCTCTACTCTTCCCATGCCACCTGTCCTTGCTTCCACTTATTATAAGCCTCTTTTTCAAATTGAATTTTCCTCAGGAGCTCCTTATCCACCCAAGGAGGTCTCCTGCCCCTCCTGCTGCACTTCCTTCTAGTTGGGATGCAACACTCCTCAGCTTGTAGCAGGTGATCCTTGAATATCAACCAAGAGTTGAATTAATGTAATCAGTAAAAAGCACACAAATAGGTATCCTAAAAGGATTACTCACATTCAGCTTTACACATTGTCTAACAACATGATTATGTGAGCTAATTCTCATGTAATAGAGGCTGCCCAGGAAAGCTTTGCTTTCCTGAATATGTGCCAAAAGTTGTGCTTCTGCAGTAGGTCAGGAGAACTGGTTTCCCTTACAGTTATGTGTAAAGCTGTTTATAACTCAATGTATTTAATTCAGCAGATGATTTCACAGTATAATGCAATTTATGTTACTTTCTGATGTTAATAAAAAATTACAATACAGAATTACTTTTAACAGCAATTTGTTGGTTGAGCTTATACATTCCCTGTTACTGTAGAACTTGCACAATGTATTTTTGTCAGTTTAAAATGGAAATCGTCTCAGACTGTCTTGAGATAAGCTATTAGGAAGCTCAGAAAGTTACTTAGCTGTTTTAAGCTTCTGATTATTTGATTGTAGCCTTCCAGTCCTGAGTGTCCACAGCTAAAAACCTTGTAAGGTTGGACATATAAAGTCCTGAAAACTTTTTAAGATCATAAGCCTGAGTTGTTGTTCTTATCTTTAGGGATTGGGTGGGAGGCTGTATGCCTTTGGGGCACTTTTATTTACACTTAAAACTTTTTGTTCAGAGGCAAATAAATAAATTGTGATTTTTCTTGATAGGATTAAAAATTAATTAATAAATCAGGTAAGACTCTAACCATAAATTCAACCTCATCTGAATTTCACTTACCATAATCTAGCAGTATGATTTCAATGTTCTTTTGGTAGCTTTAGATTCCATTTTCAAAGTAAGAAAAACCTCTGCCCACACGTGCTGGGTGGGGGAGGTCATACAGTGCCAAGGTGAGAGGTGGAGTGTGACTGTAAGAGACAGGGATGCCTTGGAGCTGCTGCACTGTGGGACAAAGGAATAATAAATAAATAAATAAAATAAATCATGACTGCAAAGGAATGTACATGTCATGGGCATGGCTGAGTAGCATTAGCAAAAGAACATAAAGCAGAAAGCAAAAGGTTGTTATTTAGTTTTCCCATATAAATGATGTCTTGTAACCTTTTATTCTGTGGACAATTATACATGACAGTGTTTTATTAATAATTTATTTTGCAGTTAAACACTACAAAAGACTGCAAATCTCAACAGATGAAACGGCTGTATAATACATCTCTCAGGCTGTTCTTTAATACACCTGTCCTAGCTGATGTCATCTTCAAAATACAAGGTATGGTACCTCTACTCCTGGTGGCATTGGCTCCGTTGCACCTTCAGCATTTATATTACTGCAGGAGAGTGGGAAATAGAGGTGTCTATTTTCTGTAGCACAAGAACTAAGGAAATGTGTATCTGCTTTGCTGTCACTGTGGAGAGCAGCTTTTGCTTAGAATTAACGCTTGCCCTATGGATGCTTTGCAGTAGTCTTCCCTCTCAGTGTGGTTTGTCACTGCTGCGCCTGTACCAATGCCCTTTGCTTGACATGGTAGACTTTGTGCCTCTCTGATTGGCATGCATCCCTTGGAGGCTTGGCAAAATGAGGGGTGTGTCTCAGGAAAGACTCCTGCAATGACATAGCACCAAGGTAACAAGGCTACACCAGGGATTGCATCATAGGCGATGCTGATTTAAGTTACTTATCTCACGTTCCTACCTGTACAAGCACTAGGAGATATCACAGAATTCTGGAATTCCAGGTTGGAAGGGACCTCAAAGATCCTCTGTTCCAACCTTTTTTTGTCAAAGCATGACCTAGACTAGATGTCCAGCCGAATCTCCACAGCATCCATTGGGAAATCCACAACTTCCCCGGGGAGATTATTCCAGTGGGTAGTTGTTGTCATTGTGAAAAATTCTCCTCTTGTGTCCAGTTAGAATCTCCTCAGGAGTAACTTGTGCCCATTACACCTCATCTTTTCTATGAGACTTCTTGTAAAAAGGGAGTCTCCATCTTCTTTGTAGCCACCGTTTAAATACTGGAACATGGCAATAAGGTCTACCCTGAGCCTTCTGCCGAGCATCAAACCTTGAAGAGTTATGGACTCCAGTGGCCGCGTCTACACTAGTTGCCCTCTGTGAAAAGACTGCAGAAGCTGGTTATTGATTCTTGACCACCTTCCCTCTGCCTGTCTCAGGCTGGTGCAGGCTGTGGACATGCCTTTTTGTACATTCTAGAAGCTGACAGGGACTTATATCCCCCTCCTGTGCTTTCTTAGACTTTACTCACACCCCATCTTTCCCCAAAGTAAGCACCCCTAGAACTGCACCTAAATGTTCTGGGATTTTGATGACCTACTAATCTAGGTGCCATCAACACCTGCTGTGTTTTACTACCCTTCTAGATGCTCCCGTACCAATCTTTGTGCTTCTGTCACAAGCAACTTCTGTAGGGTAGGTGATTCCTTCTGAAAGGAGCCTTCAGTCTTGCAGGGGCCTAGGCTAGACCTGCCTGTTGCTTAACCCTACAAGTGTGAAAAACATCTAAATTATTGGGGTTTTGTTGTTTTGTCTTGGGGTGATGGTAATTAATTACCTAATCCTCATTGTGGCCAGGATTAAAAAGGTGTAGGGAGCAGAGACTGGCTTTCCCTGCTGACTTGTCTGTAAGAGACTATTAAACTACAAAGCTTGGTGGTGGTGTTCCATAGGTCTGCTCACAAAGATGCCAAGTGCTCCTTGGCAAAGGCACAGGCAGGAGCCATGCTAATGGAACCATTTTCTTTTCCCATTTTGACAGCAAAACCAATTTGCTGCAGTGTCATGGCTGACATTTTTCTGGAATTGAATCTCAGAGCCAAATATGAAGCCTTAGTCCTTCAAGCATAGGGACATGAGGGCAAGCAGATTCTAGATACTCTGTTTAATATGCAGAAAACCCGAAAATGATCTTTGAAAATGAGAATAAAATGCTGATGTTGAGTTTAATGACATCAAAAATCATCTCAGTGTCCCATTCCTGAGAAAGGCTTTGTGGGAATTTGATTAAACCATACCAACACTATGTATTTTGCAGAAAAAAAACCCCAACCCTGCCCTGGGTTGACAAGTAGTTAAAAAAAATGTGCTTATCCACTCCTAAAATGTGAACTGATGTTCTTAATGTTTGATAAAAGTCTTCCAAGCCTTTTTCTCTAATTAATCAGCCACAATAATTGTATTAAAATTAAATAATTATGAAGAGAAACTGAAGGCTTTAGAAGGCTAAATTCTTAGGCTTTTGTATATCAAAAAATATATTTGATTTGGCAAATATTTTTAATTCTTCAACTAATTCCTTGAATATTTGGGGTTGCTTTGAGCTTTCTAGTTTACAGAAGTACTTGGGAGCCATTGAAAATGGGAGCCCATGTTGTCTGTGTAAAGATTCATAATGTGATTGAACCTCCTAATTAGTAGGTAAATATCCAATTGCATGCACATACACAACTGCATGCATAACTTAAATCGTATCTTCATTGTGTAATGCTCATGTTACATATGTGAATATATAATACCATTGACATGTTCTGTCTGTATGGAAATACATAAATTTCGTATGCCACATTTTGGAAGCAGAATCACAGGTGAACAGAAATAGTACAAAAATTAAAAAATGACAGATGTTTTAAAAGAAATAGGTAGGTGGCAGGGTTGTGGTTGAGGAGGAAATGAAGACAGTAACTTCTGTGTAAGTATTTGCGGTATATTTATCTTGCATGTCAATTGATCTATTTATTTTAATTTTGATTAAATCATTTACATCCAGCTGTAAACTCTTGTACTGTCTTTGGCTACTATCCTGTTTGGCCCTTTCTTGTGCACAGGGCCATTGAGTTTATCTGGGCTCTGCAGAGGTCTGAGGTCAGTGCTGGCAGCTCATGCTGTCAATATTTTCATTAAGAGCCTGTAAGACCTCTGCTACCAAGGCTGTTAACCTTAGAGGTGTTCTAGATGTTGTAAATGTAAAGTAAATGATAAAGTAAATTAGTCATTCACACATATTAAAAAATTGAAACATTTCTAGAAGAAATTATTGGCATTATTTTTGTAAGACAGCCTTCAGGAAATTCACCTATGCAAAATACTTAATCTGGTTAAAGTCATACTTAGTAGATTTAAAGGAGTTTCATCTGGGATAATTTGCCTTTCTCTGCTTTGTGTGGCTATGTGAGTTTGACTTCTGGAACATGCATTTGTTACCAGTAGGATTGCTGAGGAATGCAGATTACTCATTTGCATATTTATGCAGTGGGCCATAGGTTCAATTTCTGTAAACTGGTGTTAAGTACAGTGGCATCTGATTTTTTGCTACTTGAAAGCCTATTTCTGACTGATAAAAGTTTGCCAGATTTGGAGAACTTGGTGTTTGGAGCAGGTTGTCGTAATAAATTTAGTATTTCTCTTTCCTTTTTTTGCTGGCTATGAGAAAGATGTAAACTCTTAACTGGTATAAAGTGAGTATGTTATTAGTTATTTGTTCGATATTGTTAATTTTAAACACTTTAATCATATTCAGTGAAGTGAAGGCCTTCTAAGAAAATCAGAGCTTTAAAGTCATGATCTTTCTGTGTATATAAAATCATCATAGATTTTTATCTTGTGTCCTGCAGATGCAACTGTACCAGCCCACAGAGCAGTTCTGGTAGCTCGCTGTGAGGTAATGGCAGCTATGTTTAATGGTAATTATCTAGAAGCAAATAGTATTCTGGTTCCAGTGTATGGGGTTTCCAAAGACACTTTCCTCTCCTTTCTAGAGTATCTTTATACCGACTCCTGCTGTCCAGGTAAGAAAAGTCAAAATTACACGTTTTTACTCATTTTTCCACAGTGAGGCACTGATAGAGAGTAATGTAGCAGCATTTACATTATTGAAAAATGTGAAAGATTTAATGTATAATGTCTCAAGAAAAAGAAATTTTCATATTATGCAATGAAAAAATCAGTCTTATTCAAGTAAAATCAACTGCAGACAGAACAGTTATCACTAATAAAATGTTGTGTTTGTTATGTGCTTACACAGCAAGACACAAAAATCAGTGAAATTTCATTTCTGGTCCATTACAATATCAAAAATTTTCTTTCTACGTCACAGTAATATTGCTTTTGAATCACAATTCTTGAGTTCATCCCAAAATTTTCATTTTGTTTAGGATATATTTTGTTACATTTAATATAATCAAGGTTAAAGTGCAAGAACACCTTATTTATACATATGGATACCTTATTTGTGTGTAAATCCTCAAGAAAGTATGTCATTTGGAGTATTCAGTAAGAAAAATTGAGCTGAAGTATTCCTTGTATCTTAGCCATAGTCTTTTATAATAAGAAGAAAATTACATACTAAATATGGAATATTATTTAAATACAGATCATTTTCCTTTGGGATAGTGAGTGAATAATGTTGTGATATGCATTTTTGCTTTTGTTTTCTTTTCAAATAATTCTACCTTATTATTAGGTTTTCTCTTATTCCCTTTTCAGTCCATCTGCCATTTCCCTGTTCATCAGTTTAAATGTGCAACCACTGTACCATATTTAAAAAAATTAATTAACTGTAACAGATCTTTAATTTATTATTTTTTTTAGATATATGGTTGCTTCATTTTCTTTTGGGCCTTTTTTTGCTATATTTTCTTGTACATGTATCATGAATCTTCTTTTTTGGAGAGATATTAGAAAGCTAATTCCTATTATTAATCATCACTTACTTTAAATACACTAACAGCCCTTGATTAGCTTCTTCAAGACACAGGGTATTGACAAGTAAGAAGTACTAACTAAAGTACTCTTTTACTGTTGATTAAACAGGGAAAAGAGAGTGGTATAGCAAACTTAGTAATAATGAAAAATAAAATAAGGTGATCAACAGCAGTTTGATTTTATGTTCATTGTTAAGTGTTTGAAAGATGACTCGGTGAAAACTGCCTTTGATCATATTGTCAAAAAGGTAAAATACATATAACTTGTGTTTTCTGGTTTTTCAGCTGGTATTCTCCAAGCTATGTCTCTCTTGATCTGTGCAGAGATGTACCAAGTAATGAGACTCCAGCATATTTGTGAGCTTTACATTATCACACAGCTTCAGAGCATGCCTAGCAGGGAGCTGGCATCCACAAGCCTCAGCATTGTTAGCTTGCTCAAAAAAGCTAAGGTATGTGTTTCGTGGATCACATGAGAACGTATATCTTAACCCTAATTAATGGGGGTTGTTTAATTGTTAAGATTTTTAAAGATCTTAATACTTTCTCTTCCCAAGGACAAACACTAATACACAGTCTGTTGACCAGGATTATCTGTGGCACAAGGCCTTCAGTCTCTGATTGCACAATGTGCAGTCATAACACAATCTGTGCAATTTCCTTCATCAGGGATACATTGCAGTAATTCATCTTAACTCCAACTTCTGCCAGAAAAGATTTATTTTGGGCCAGTGAATATGCACTACTTCTCTTTTTAGTCATGCAAGTGGCAGAGAAGATCCAACCTGATAGAATATTGAGTGGAAACAATGAAAAGCATGAAAAGACAAGACCGGAGGCTGAAAAAAGAGAGAGACAGTAAAGCCAGACTTGGAAAACAGAAGAGGAAAATAAAAAGATGAATCATTTACAAGTCTTAAGCAGGATGTTGTCTTAAATGAACAGGATTTTGTGGTGGAAGAGACAACCACAAAATTGACATGCTGCACACCTTACCTTCCTTTTTCTGAAGCTGTTCTGTGACAAAAATTTCTAAGATTCATGTCCAAAAGAACCCCGGGAGTTAGATCACACCACTGGGGTGGGGTGGGGGGAAGTATTACTGTTTGATCTTGAGTCTCCATCTGTTTACACATTTATGTCAATGACTTTTGCTCTGTTATCTCCTACAGCCAAAACTTTATTTAGTGAACTGCTGTTTGTTTTCTTTCTTCTTGCAGTTTCACAATTCTGATTGCCTTTCAACTTGGCTTCTTCATTTTATTGCCACTAACTACCTCATCTTCAGTCAAAAGCCTGAATTTCAAGATCTTTCAGGTAATTTACCTATTACTTTTAAAACAAGAAAATCTTTTCAGTTCTGCTTAGATTAGAAGCAAGGTACTGAACAATACTACATCCACATGAGAAGACAATTAGGACTTCTGTAGGCCAGAATCTGTGTGAGCTGGTTGTGTACCAGCATGTGGCACATGAAGAACAGAATGTGTAGCAACCACATCCCCTTGTATTTTTTATTCCTGCACTGATGGTAAGGTTCCTACCCATAACTGATTCAACTGGGACACTTTGGTCACTATGTGTCAATCCCTCTACTTTATGTATGTAATTCCGTTTAGTTAGTGAGTTAGAATCAAGGTAATAAGTCACTTCCAATACCCGCTTTTCAAGGGCTGGGCTTTTCTTTGAAGAAAACAGGATTCTGACAGTACTTTTCAGCAGATATCATGAAATCAAATAACTAATGTCCATTTAAATAAATAAACAAGGTTCTTCCAGGGAATTGATATTTAATTTCCCAAACTCTGTATTCATTTCCTGGTATGTAACTCTAGAAAGTTTTGCTTTTTGTCTATGGGAATTTTCAGCACCCTGGTGAAGGTGGTCCTGATGGGTGCACCTATTTTGATCCATGGTTTGTATTCAGACCATTGGTATGGGGCCAGTGTATTCCAGCTGGGGATTTTGTTATCAATGAGCCGAAGCTTTGTTTGGTCCAAAGTACATTGGAAGAACTCTTTCCTCATTTGCAAGGCTCATATATGTATGTGTGATGATGGGCGACTCTGTAATCATTAGGAGTGAAGGAGGGAGAGCTAGACCCTCCTTGTTCTGTTTGGATCTGGAATTTGTCTTCTAGTGGCCCATCTATGTATCTTCTGAAACATCCATTTTGTATAGCCAGATCTGGATTAAACATGGGTTAAGCCTGTGTTGTCTCAGCCACCCTGAGGCACTCCTGAAGCTGCAAGAGTCAGATTGTCCCAATCATTTGGTGAAGGTGGGAATTGTAGATGACTTCCCCTTGGTGAGGCAGGAGAGCACAGAGACCCTTCTGATTTAGGTTCAGTGCAGGACTCAATCTAGGCACATTTACTTACCCATTTTCCAGTTTCCCAGTGGGATATCTATTTATCAATATTGCCTTGTTTGTTTTTTTTTTCCTGTGAAAAGTAATAGCAATAGCAGTTCTGCCTCCATGTTGCAGCAATCCTGGTGGATATCAGGCTGCATATGAGTGTGTCGTGAAAGTTAGGCAGTGGTGTTTCTGATAAGGATCACTCATAAGCACTTGTCAGCGTGTGCTCTGGCAGCACCCAAGTAACTCAGGGTACAGTATCATCGTAGCAAATGTTTGCTCTGTCATCACCTGAGGTTTCCTCTTTGCTTCCGACCACTGGTATATTCCACCAGCTGTGTCTGTATGACTGGTAGCCTCTCCTTTGCCTTTCTCCTTCCTCTGAGTCCCTTTCCACATGGTTCACTGAGGGGCTGACACGTTCTGTTGCGTTGAACTTGTAGTGAGATGGCCTGAGAAAAGGAATAGAAGCACATAACTAAATATAGGTGGGTGGGCAAAACCGTTCTGTTCCAGCTTGCCAGGGCACAAACACCCTCTGACACATTCAGAGGAGCGCAATCTCTGCAACAACAGTAGTTATGGGCACCTGGCCTTTCTTCCTGAGGACACCATGACACTGCATCACCTCATGGCTTGGAGAGCCATGGAGCCCAAAGCAGCAGCTTTCCAGTGGCTTTCAACCACTGAAATCTCCAGGAACAGCCCTGTGTTTGGCACAAGGTAGGCAGAAAGGCACCACCTGCTGCCCTGGCCTTAGCCCTTCCCGTACTGAGGATTTTTCTGCTGAGCCTTGGTCTCCATCCAGCTTGGTCTGAATCCCTGAAAGGATTCAGGAAAATCAGGGAGCAGGGGATGACAATGCATATTTCTGCAAGGCAAAGGGATTCATCCAAGCAACACATCTGAAGACTATTACATGACTCTATCAGCAACAAAAACCACATGCAACACAAGTAAAAAATCTTGAGTTCTGAATTGCTCCCCTTACCTTGCTTTTTGAAATGCTCTTGAACTGTTGCCATAGGGATTGAGAGCCCCTCCTTGATAGTGTTGCAGCATAGACAGAATCCTTGCAGCTGATTACCACATCTGGTTATCTTCTAGAGATAAAGAACATTGATCTGTAGGATAGCCTCTCTGTTCTCTTTAACAAGTATTGGTTTTATTTCAATTTTATTTTCAACTTAATAGCAAGGGAACACTGTGTAGTAACTCTTCTGTCTGTACTCCTATAAGCTCTACATAAGATGGACAGCGCTCCTCTTTACTGTCCTAGTTGTGTTTATGTCCTTAATGGTTTTCAACCTATTTTATAGACTTTTTGCAGCCTGTGCACTTGTGCAGTATGTTTGGATATTACATTTAATTCCTTTATTGCTTTGTTTAGTGGAGGAGCGCAATTTTGTAGAGATGCACAGATGGCCTTCAAATTTGTACCTGAAGCAGCTTGCTGATTACAGGAACTACATCCACTCTCAGAAATGCCATTGCATAGTAATGTAAGAAGACTGAGCACATGCGAAGTTCATCATGACTCAGAAACCTCAGACTGGGAATTACACAAAGGATAAAAATCCTTTCAAGAGCAAATAAAATACCGATCTACCCTGGAACACCATATGCCATGCTGTAGCTCACCTACTAATATTCCTTGCTTTGGTAATGGACCACTACTTTTCCATTAAAGCATGGAAAAATATATGATGAAGATTTATTTCAAGCACAAGAATTTCGTAACCATGGGGATTAAATGTAGTACAGATCACATCATGACTGTCATGCTGTCACATGCTCCTCCTTCTAATGTCTGCATTGATTGTTTTATTGGTTTTCATGGGTATTTTTTGGCTGCTAAAAAGGCACTGGTTGAAAACAGATTTTTTTTTTTTTGTAAGTCAGTATACAATAGTACCACAGTAGTATTGCAGAAAAGATAAGAACCCAACTCCTAAATTCTTTAAATATTTCAGAATCCCAAAATTTGTGGCAACTTCTGTTGGTTTTCAAAGTTAAGGGTAGACATACTAATCATTTTAGTTATGATTCATTTTCTACTTCAAGGTAACTCTCTAATTCCTTTTACAGAACTCTTACTGTTGTATGAGTAGATATTTTAATTCCAGAAGAATGCCTATGTATCAATGTATTCTCTGTTACTTCCCAAATATCTATAAATTGAAATAGTGTTTTCTTTCAATGAATAGGAGAAGAAGGTCTGTTTTAATAACCTGTAGGACGCCTCTGTTACTGTGTACATATTGTGGTTTTCCCCATGAGGAAAAAGTTCAGGGAGAACCAAGCCCACTTGGAGCATATTGACATGGTACTGGTAGAGACTGGACCAAAAGGGAAGGGAGTTGACAGCCTTGCATGGCTTTGGTGGGAAAAAACTCACTGGCCCTGGTGACTTTTTTGGAAATAGTGGGTCTCATCATCCCCGGTACCTGCTGGGGGCTGACAGCACTGATGTCAGATTTGCTGACTGTGGAGGAGGCGACCCGTATGGGTTCGCCAGTCCAAGGAGGAACATCGGCTTTTGATGTGACTTTGAGCTCTATCCTTCCCAGTGGGGTCTCTGTTTGAACTGAATTGTCATCATGTGTTCATAAGCTGTGCTGTCTGAGATAAACCCAGTTATCTTTTGTGGCTGTGTGGGTTCTTTCTTGGGTATAACAGAGAAATCCTCAATGTTATCATGACCCTTGTAGATACTCTTGAGAGTTTTTCTTGAATTAAATCATTAATTTGTTATACCACTAACTTATAAGAATGTAGTAATATTAAAGACAAAAAAACCCAGCCTTTGCACAGGGGTACCTGTCTGAGCATAGGTATTTTTCTGTAAATGAAATCTTACCCAGGAGCTAAATGCTTCGTTATAATTTTGGTACTTATGATTCTGCTTTGCCTTTAATTTTGTTATGTAGTCTTAACCAAGAAAGATAAAGATACTGGAAAATTACTTAGTGTTTCCACAATGCCCACAGCAGATCACCTCAAATGTACCTGAAAACTGCAGCTGGGAGATGAAGACGGAACAGAAATTTGCTGGAGCTGATTTTTTATTTTTTTTTCTCATAAGAATTGTTTTCATATTTCATAACAGTTTTCTCGATAAAATGTTCTTTTCAGATTTCATACTAGAGTCATAGGGATTTTTTAGTTTTTTTATTTTTCCTGGTGATGCTTTGCAGAGCTTGAGAAGGTATTTCCTTTCCTATTTGCTTTTCGTCTGGAGACCCTAAGTTCTTTAAAAGATGAGATATACTTACCTGCATGTTGCATATAGTGAGTGTGAAATATAGAGCATTACACTGTTTTTTCAAGATCACTAAAGAAAGCTGAAAACATTAAAGAAAAAAATGAAAAGTAAGTTATAGGCATGGAACTCAAATGTGAAAAGGTAATTTGCTATCATTATAGTAGAAATTAAAAATTTTAACTCTACATTAACTGAGTATGTGCAAATAAAGCAGGTTTTTGAAGCATAAAGTCGTAAACAAAAATGAGCATACAGCTGAACTGCAGCTTGCCTGGACACCTGATGGCATCCTCGGTGGCAGCACATGCTTCTACCAGCTGCCAGCTGCATTGTCAATAGTATGGATTATTTGTCTGGCACCGACTTCTTGTACTGATACAAAATCTGCGTGAACATTTGTCTGCATTGCATGTAGTCCTAAATTTTTAACTCTTTGAAAGCTTTTCCAGGTTTTTTGCCACAAGTTATTCTGTTGCCAATAATTTACGTATAGATAACAAATAACGAAGTCATACTTTTAACTTCACATAAAGTTTCATAGGCATTTAAAAATAGAAATGGAAGTACAAATTAATGGAAATACAAACACTTTATAGTCAACCAAGAGAAGTATTTTGCTATTATGTATTTTAGTCAGTAATAACTATAGGTTTTATACAGAGAAGCCAGGTAGTGTAAAAATATTATTTATTTACAGATTAATGCGTGCTACTATATGGAAGAGTAACAATAAGAGCATCTCTTACTATTCAGACAATAAAACAGCTTACCATTTTACTGAGTATCCCCACAGTGCTGCCTGTTATCAGGTGCAGATGTGCTGTTCTGGCAGGCATAGACCATCTGAAAAATTTAAATTATTAGAAGACTTCTTATTATAAACTCTTGTTTTTATGCTGTAAGATGATTTTCCCTAGAAATTTGTTTATCTTAAATCTGTTTTTAAAATGGATACTTCAGCATTCAGAAATGTGACTGAAAGTAGATCCTGATGCTTTGATGCTGGTGAGTTGCTGTCAGTAAGGTTATTTTTTTAGCAGAGGCCTTAGAATCACAGAATTATTATTAGTTAGGGTTGGAAAGGACCTTAAGATCATGTAGTTCCAACCTCCCTGCCGTGGACAGGGACACCTCACACTAAACCACGGACTGTATCTGTCACAGATAGTCAGGAATTAGGCCAGTACTGAGTTTGGTATTTATGAATAACTTTACGTGGTATAAAGCAAAAAATGCTATGGTATTAAAAAAAAACCTAACACCTTTATACTCTGGTATAAAGTAAAAACCAGGAACCAGCTGGAAAAAAAAGTTATTTAAGCAAGTGGTTTTTAAGAAATTAAAATGTCTGAGGAAAAAGGCTTCCATTGGTGCCAGCATCTCCCACACTCTGAGGCCATTACTGAATTCTGGTGTCCCTAGGCAGGTCTTGGAGTGTTTAGGATTATAGTTCAGACTTCGGTTTAAGTGCAGTTTCGATGCCCAAGCATCGAACTAACATTGAGCTAACTCTCAAAATCCACTTTTAGAAGACAATTTTTGAATAGCAGATTGCACTGTACAATTTTCACTGCACCTATAGATGTGTGTGCTTGTCCCCACGCTAGCACTAAGCTTTGGAGAGACTAACATAGAAAGCTTTTGCACAGATAACATTTACCACATGACAGCTAAACAAAACTCTGCAATCGTCCTTTAGGTCTTGGTGTATTTGATCTGAAAAACCTGTTAGGAGGGAAGAAAAGCTATCTTATTAGGCATGTATTGAAACTCCTGAATGTTGTATTTTTGATATACCCTAGCTAAATGTACATGTTTCCAGATTGAGTATGTAAAATTTTGTTACAAAATAGAAACTTTTCTCTAGTCATGTGCTTATTTACCCGTGCACATTAGAATATTTGAGAATTACACTGGAAATGTATTTGTAGCTTATTAGAATCACAGAATATTTTTGGTTGGAAGGGGCCTTTGAAGGGCATCTCATCCAACCTGCTAGCCATGGGCAGGAGCACCTTCAACCAGACCAGGTGACTCGAGCCCCATCCAACCCAGCCTTGACTTTTCCAGGTGCAGGGCCAATACCACTTCTCTGGGCAACCTGTGCCAATGTTTCACCACCCTCAGTGTAAACAATTTCTTCTTTCTACCTGGTCTGAATCTCCCCTCTGCTAGTTTAGAACCAGTTCCCCTTGCCTAATTGCTACAGGCCCTACTAAAAATTCTGTCTCCAGCTTTCTTATAAGCACTCTTTAAGTGTTCAATAGTGCAATGAGGTCTCAAGGAACCTTCTCTTCCCCAGGCTGAACCAGCCCAGCTCTCTCAGCCTGTCTCCAGAGCAGAGCTGCTCCAGCCCTCACAGCATCTCTGTGGCCTCCTCTGAACTCACTCCAACAGCTCCACGTCCCTCTTGTGTTGTTGCCCCAGAGCTGGACACAGGACTGCAGGGGAGGTCCCCAGAGCACAGCAGAGGGGGAGAATCCCCTCCCTTGATCTGCTGCTCACACTCTGGGAGTGCAGCCCAGCACTTGGGGGAGTTCTGGGCTCAAGTACACACTGAAGCTGGCTCTTGGGGTGTGTCTCATCACACAACACCCACAAGGAGTTCTTCTCAGGGCAGCTCTCAAACTTTCCCCAACCTGTTTTGATACAGGAGGTTGTCTTGGCCCAGGTGTAGGACCCTGTACTTGCCCTTGTTGAGGTTGCCTTCAAGAGGTTGGCACTGGTCCATCTCTCAACTCTGTCCAGGTCCCTAAAGATCCTATCCCTTCTCTCACGTGTGTTGACAACAACACTCAGCTTGGTGTTCTCTCCAAACTTGCTGAAAGGGTGCTTGAAACCACGGTGCATATGAAGATGTTAAAAGAGTGCTCATCCCAATACAGGCCCCTGAAAGGCACCACTCATTGCTCATCCACCTGCCTATCAGATGCAACATGGAGAGAAAACTTGAGAATGCAGCCGTGTCTGTGCTGCCTGTGTGTAAACTGGCAGTAATATTGAGATAATGATATTTCTATGAATTAACAAACAGTGTTCTGTTTGATTTGACTTTCCAGAGGGAGCTGGGAGCAGGAGAGGGCACTGAAATACTCTGGCTGAGCAGTCTCCTTTGCCTCCTTCTCATGCACAAACCACTGAGGCCCAAAGTTCCCGAGCAGGGCTCTTGCCTGGAGCATAGTTTAGAAGCACGGCTAGAGGTCATGCAATACCTTCCTGGTCCAGCTCTCTGCTGCAGCCGTGTCCTACAAGATCCAACTGTCTATGGCTTGCACCAGCCTAAAACCACATTCATCACTACCAATAGGAGTTAAACCATCCATCCCATCCAGGTAACTACGAACAGGTAAAAGGAGTGACACAGAATCAAAGTGGTCAACAAATGCTGTAAGATGCTCATAGCAGCCCCTTGGTCCCCCTGTGCTTTCCCCTGGGTCACCCATGCCAGTGTGGCCTGACAGTATCCCTGACCACACAAGGGGGTGATGAATGGCTTGCCTAATCCTGG